CCAGACATTAGATTAAAGCATCTAAAATAAAACAGTGTACAACCAAAACAAATAGAAAAATTAACTTGGAGGAAACCTGTGTGATATGAGAGAAGAAAACAAAACTATTTCTCATGTCCTTAATTATTTCATCTATAAAACAAGAACAGGATGCAACTTAAAAAGGGAATTTAAACTTTAAATTTTATTTATTTATTTACCTATTTTTTTTAGTAATAAATTACTATCTCTGATGCCAGATTTTTTTTCCTTTATTGGTTTTTAAAGAGAGAGAAAGGAAGAGGGAGAGAGAGAGAAACATCGATGAGAGAGAACATCGATTGGCCTGCACGTCCCCACTGGGGATCGGGCCCTCAACTTGGGCATGTGCCCTGACCTGGAATCGAACCAGTGATCTCTTGGTGCTTGGGTCAACGCTCAACCATTGAGCCACACTGACCGGGATAAATTTTAAATTTTAGAGATTAAAAAGAGCTCTTGGAAATGAAAATATCACAGAAATGATTATTTCAATATGAATTTTAGAAGTCAAAGTTGAGGAAATGTCCCAGAAAGTTGAAGAAAAACCAAAAACCAGGAAATAGAGGGAATGGAAAAGAAAAAAGAAAAATAGAGGATGAGGCTGAGAGGAATGACATTTTCAAATATCAGGAGAGAGAGAGAGAGAGAGAGAAAGAGAGAGAGAAAACAGAGAAAATAAGAGGTGTGGAAAATAACCCAGACATAATTTACAATTATTTTCCCAAACTATAAGACAGGAATTTTCAGACAGAAAGATCCTACCAAATGCCTAGCAAACTGGAAGAAAATGGACTTCCACCAAGGTTTATCACTCTGAAATTTCAGAACACCAAAGACAATTGATTCCTCAACAGGATTTTTGAAAACAATCAAATGACATCAAACTTCTCAGTAGCTAATGCAAAAATGTTTATTAGTGTCTGGTCTTAGGAAATTCCTTTGGGAAAAAGAAATTATTTTCAACCTAGAAGTCCTACTCAGCCAAATTATCAATTAAATGTGAAAGTAAAATAAAAATAGTTTCAGAAATAAAACATCTCAAAAAAATTGCTCTCCATTTACCCTTTCTCAAAAGAACTAGGAAACTAAGGACTGCACCCAAATGAAGGAGTAAACCAAGGAGGTAAAAATATGGTACAGAATTGAGGGCCCAACCAAAACTGAGCTAAAATAAAACCCTAGAATGATAGTAAAGGCAGATACCAACATGGTAGTGGTACATACAGGCCTAGAGAGGAATCAGGGATGTTTGGAGTCCATCAGAAGGTTCTGTAAGAGATGTCTAAAAGAGATTAAATTGAAAAAATATTATTGCTAGAATACCAATGTTTTTCAGCATATCAAGAGCAGATTTATATAACTAGAGGATATTTCGATTAAATTAATTAAATAATTAGAAAACTAAATACATGAAAATCCAACATAACCCCACAAAGGCAAAAATATGAAAGAAAAAAAGTAATCATAGTATAATACAACTTGAATAAGAAAAGCATTTACATAAAGTAAATGATGTGTGTTCTATCAAAATGATGTCAGTATATGAGGGGACAGCAGCTCCTGGAGACTGGAAGAGCTCATCTCTGCTTCACTATTGGTCTGTTTGGTCCACTGGATGGGTAGGGAAGTAGAGACTTGATCCCTGGTTCCAGTGGTTGTATTAAGCTATATTTCTTGGGGCAAGTAGTTCGAAAGGTGGGGTTTTGGCTTATTGTTATACAGTTACTAATACCAGGGTATATTTCTAAAGTATAAATATATCGTTTTACTTCCTGAGTCCTCTGGTGATTTACTATTGCCCAAATTATAAAGTCTACATTTCCTAATTTGGCTTTTAAAGCCCTTTACAACCTAATGCAAACCTACATTTCCACATTTTTCATTATTCCTAACCTACCCTCTACCCCACTCCTCTATTTCTTGAAATCTGGTCTTCAACTAAGCCAAAAAAACTGGGCAACACATGATGCATTATGCTTCCCATGCTCTTGACACATCTTATCAATAGTGAAAATATATATTTACCCTGAATTAATCAGAATGTATCCTGCCTGGGTTGTCAGGTGGCTCAAAGTTAAATTTGATGCCGACTTACTAAACTCTTTTTTTTTTTTTATTGAGTTTTAGAGAGAGAGGAAAGGAGAGGGAGAAAGAGATAGAAACATCAATGAGAGAGAACATTGATTGGCCGCCTCCCGCATGCCCCCCACTGGGGATCTGGCCCACAACCTGGGCATGTGCCCTGACCTGGAATCAAACCAGTGACCTCTTGGTGCATGAGTCGACGCTCAACCACTGAGCCACACCGGCCAGGCCTACTTACTGAACTCTTATTACTAACTCTTATTAACCTGATTATCTTTTCCATTTCCTTGGACCAGATCTCTGTCCTTTGAGACTTTACTTTTTAAATTAGAAAATCAATGGAATATAGAAAAGAAGAAAAATATTATTAGTTTTATAAAAAGAAACAATGTTGTTATTTCAAAACAGTAAGTACTTAAATGTATAAACTATATAGCCCTCCATTCTTCCCTCATCACACTCCCCAAAAGTAGCTGTTGTTAAGCACAGTAAATATACTTCTGGACATTTTATTTTTTTTACTTTTTGAGGACCTTCCGGTGAAAACCGGAAGACCTGCTAGACAAATTCAAAAAGAGCTGTAAACACTACTACTTCTGGACATTTTATATAAGCAACTGAAACTCTCATTGCTGGTGGGAATATAAATTGGCATAATCATTCTGGAAAACTGTTTGATAGCATCTACTAAAACAATATATACATAGAAACACAACAGTTTTACTCCTACGTATATACTAAGAAAATGTAGACATATGTGAACTAAAATATATATACAAAAGAAACATTCACAGAACATTCAATAAAAATGCCAGATAGCAACAGAAATTAACAAACAATAGCAACATTCAATGTGAATATATCTCACAAATAACCATGACCAAAGAAGCAGGACAGAATAGAAAATATACTGTATGATTACATTTATTTAAAGTTCAAGACATGCAAAACTAACCTATAGTGATAGAAATTAGGAAGTGGTTACCTCTGGAGAGCACTAGGAGAATGCATTAAGGGCTCTGGGCTGTTAATGGGTGTAATTGCTTTGTGATAATTTATTAAGTTGAACATTAATGCAGTAAAATGATATTGACCTCATTATTTTAATGGCTGCAGAGTCTTCCATTAGAGAGATGTTCACTATTTTATTTAAATGTTTCTCTTTTGTTTGGATATTTACATTGAACTTAGGTTTTTATTCCTATTATAATGCTGTAATGAACAACCTTGTATATATATTTTTTCTTTTTTCTTTTCTTTTATTTTTTTCTCTTCAATTTTTATTAATTTATTTTTGTTACAGATGTTTCTCCTTTGTCCCCCCCTAGACCCTCACCTCCTCATCCACCCACTCCCACCCCCCTAGCATGGTTGTCTATGTCCATATCTTTTAACATTTGTATGAATATATCTGTAAGGTACATTTCTAGTAGAGTAGCTGATGCTTTAAAAGGAATACGCATTGTAAAGGTTGATGGGCATTGTCATATAACCTTGCAAAAAAACCTGTACCAATTTGCATTTTTACCAACAGGATGTGATTGCTTAATTTCCATAACCTGGAACTTCATTGGATGTAATTGGTCTTTTACATTGCTGCTTCTCTAATTCTCACTGCTGCATTTATTTTTACTTTTAAATTATTAGTAAAGTTTAAAAGCTTTTCATGTTATTAGCCATTTAATGAGCTGCCTGTTTACATTTTTATCCTCCCCTACCCCCATCCAGGGAATGACTTACTTCTAATAATATATATTAAGAATACTAACCCTTTATCAAATGATGCAGAATATTTTTCCTGATTTATCATTTGGAGTTTGTATTTATGGTGATTTTTAGCCTTATGAGTAAGTAGCTTAAATTTTTACGTGTTCAATTTTGTGCTTTTAACGTTTTCTAGTATCTTGTCAGACTTGCAGTCCTGTAGGCAAGTTTTTCAGAATTTGTTCTGTGCTGACCATTTTGTATAATTTTTTTTCCTGGAACACAGTGTACCCTTTGGATGTTCCAGGGGAGATCAAGGTAATATTAGTCAAGGCTTGCCCACACATCCTGGGCCAGCCTCCCAGACACTGGTCTAAAGCAGTTAAGACAAGCAGTCTAGCTCCTCAAGGTCTTTATGAATGCCTCTTTGATACTGGCCTCTGAAACTTTTGAAATGGGTCAAAGCAGAACACTCACTTGTTATTCAACAGCCACATTATATACTACATGAGAACTCACACCTTATTTCTTGCTCAATTATATTTTAAAATCTAGTTTATTGGATGATACCACCTAAGTAATACTATACCAACTTTTAAAAAACAAAAAATCATAACATTTGAAATTTAACAAAGTCATCATCCCTTTCCCTTACATTTTTTTTCCTTACCCGAGGACATTTTTTTTTTTCTTTCCATTTTTTTATCAGGTAGAGTGGGAAGGAGAGAGAGGAAGAGAGAGAAACATCAATGTGAAAGGTACACATTGAGTGGCTGCCACCCACACGACCAACCAGGGTCGGGGACAAACTGCAACCGAGGTACATGCCCTTAGCGGGAACCAAACCTGGGTCTCTCTGGACCACAGGCCGATGCTCTAACCGCTGAGCCAAACCGGCCAGGGCCCTTTCCCTTACATTTTAAGAGAAATTGATATTTCCAAAATAAATCTTCCCTCTCTTACTCCCAAAGAAAAATTAAAATCCCCCAATTTCCCCTTTCCCAGTTCTTATTTAGGGTTCTAGCTGGAGAGGTCTAATTCAGGGGCCAGCTTATTGTCAAGTTTCTTTCTTTGACAACTGCAGCTCTATTTATCTTCTATTAAACCCACTGTGACTTTTCCAGCTCCTCCCAGAATGTTCTAATCCAATTCTTCTGTACTTTTCCTGAGTTTTTATTTTTTTTATTTAGTCTCCATAGAGACTGTCAAAAATTGACACTGCCCACTATATTTCAATATAGGGCGGGGTATTGGGAAAGTTTTTAGTTAGCAATAATAGCACCTTGGATAAACATCATTGGCTACAATACTACCACTAAGCAAAGCTTTTTTAAAAAAAATTTTTTGTTGTTAATCCTCATCTGAGGATATTTCTCCATTGATCTTTAGATAGAGTGGAAGAAAGGGAAGGAGAGAGCGAAAGAGAGAGAAACATCCATGTGAGAGAGACACATTTATTGGCTGCCTACCGCAGGACTCCAACTGGGGCTGGGGATCAAACCTGCAACCCAGGTACATGCCCTTGGCTGGGAATTGAACCCGAGACTCTGGTCCATGAGCCGACTCTCTAACCCGTGAGTCAAACCAGCCAAGGCTAAACAAAGCTTTTTTAATTAGAGTTTAGGACACACACAAAAACGCTTTGGCATGAGTCCCTTGTCCACAAAACTTCATTTCCTAGGAAATAGTGATTTTCCATAATCTAAAGCAATCTAAGTCCACAAGCTAGGTTCCAACATAGCAGAATTTGTGCATTGTTGGGGACAGAGAGTAGAGACGTCAAGAAGGGGCTTCCTTGATTTAGATTTGCTATGAGTCTTATCAGTCTATTCCAGATATTCAGAGCACACCACCTGTGTAGTTAAAACTCAATTGGGGGGACTTCCAGCCAAGATGGTAGCGTAGGTAACCGAGGTATCGCCTATCCCCACAACCACATCAAAGTTACAACTAAACTACAGAACAGCCATCATTCAAAATTGCCTGAAATTGAGCTGAATGGAAGTCCTACAGCTACGAAATTAAAGAAGAAGCCACATCGAGACTGGTAGGAGGGGAGGAGGTGCGGATAAAAATCAGGAGGCTACCTCGGCTGGGAAGGTCCTTCCTGAGGACAGAGGGGTCCCCGTCCCACACCAGGCCCCCAGCTCAGGGCTACAGCGCCAGGAAGAGAAGTCCCCATAACTTCTGGCTGGAAAACCAATAGGAACTGAGGCTGAGGAAGGCTGAGGCTGCTGGAGCCCGAGGCAGCTCCTCTTAAATGGCCTATCAGACTTGTTCTGTCCGGACTCCCGTGTGGGGGAGGCAGCTTGAAAAGCACAAGAGACAAATGGGGAAGAATTGAGTTGTTTCACAGCAGGGCAAGAGCTAGAGAGGCAGCTTTCTCCTAGACAGACATGTTAGCAGAGACCGTATTTTCCTTTGGTGAGCCCTTTCCCTATGGGGCAGGCAGACAGTTGCCATATCTGGCACTCCAGCAACTTGGCTCATACTGTTTTCCCTCACCCTGGTGATTCCCTGAGGCCCAGCCCCATCCAACTTCCAAGACCACCCAAGCTGTTTCCAGAGACTTTGTCATAAAAATGGCTTGTCTTAGCTCCTGTTTCAGATTTTCCTAAATTCTCTCAAAAAAATAGCATATGGCCCTGGCTGGTCTGGCCCTGGCTGGTCTGGCCCAGCGATTGGAGCATTGGTCTGTGAACCAAAGAGACCCAGGTTCGGTTCCCGTTAAGGGCACGTACCTCAGTTGCAGTTCGTACCCGGCCCCGGTTGGGGTCGTGTGGGTGGCAGCCAGTTGATGTGTCTCTTTCACATCAATGTTTCTCTCTCTCTTACCCCCCTCTCATCACCTTCCTGTTCTATCTGAAGATAAATGCAAAAATATCCTCAGGTAAGGATTAAAAAAAAAAAAAAAAAAGGCAGCATCTGGCCTCTGTGAGCCCCATACCTCTCACTAAGTGGCCCCAGGCCCAGCACTAGGAGCAGCCATCTGCAGATCACTTTGTAGCTTATACCTGGTAGCCCTGGGTAGAACACAGGCAGTGGCTGACCTTGCCCCAGAGCCAGCACACCAAGTGGACAGCTTCAGAACATGGCGAAGCACCACCACCCAATCCACCCAACCACCTTCACAAGCGACATACTCAAAGAGTGGACTCAGTGGGTACCAGAGCCCAGTTGAAGTAAGTCTTGCTCTGTGCAGTGGGCCCTGCACAGCTGGTCCTCCAACGTAGTCAGAGGTTAGTGGGCAGTGGGCATAGCCAGTCCTTGAAGCTGATCAGCCTGAGTAAATCCCTCCCATTGACATGCCAACAGCAATCAAGCCTCAATTACAACAAAAGGGTGGACAGTACACACAAGGGGTGCATGTCGAGGGCCCAGCTACGGTGATCAGGGAGGCTGTTCCACTGGACCCTGCAGGATACATACTACAAAAGGCCGCCCTAGAAAGCCTAGAAGACATAGAAACTCTAATACATAGAAACAAACACAGGGAGGCAGCCAAAATGAGACAAAGAAGCATGTCCCAAATGAAAGAACAGAACAAAACTCCAGGAAAAGAACTAAATGAAATGGAGATAAGCAATCTAACAGATGCAGAGTTCAAAATGCTGCTTATAAGGATGCTCAATGAACTTAATGAGGGCCTCAAGAGCATAGAAAAGGACCAGTCACAAATGAAGGAAGCACTATCAGAAGTGAAGGAGGCACAAACTGAAATAAAGAATAATTTACACTCCCTGGTATTGGGCAAGGAGACATCTGATTGGTGGTGTTGGTCTTATATCAATCAGGGGCAAAGCAGAGGTATAGTCCTTAGTTCATCCTAGCTTGATGCCTGTATTGGTGGCCAGAGCTGTTTCATGCCTGAGGAACATAAAAAAAAAAAAAAAAAGAATAATTTACAGCCCTGGCCGGTTTGGCTCAGTGGTTAGAGCATCGGCCTGCAGTCCCGAGAGACCTGGGTTCGGTTCCTGCTAAGGGCACCTACCTCAGTTGCAGTTTGTCCCCAGCGCTGGTTGGGTTGTGCAGGTGGCAACCACTCAATGTGTCCCTTTCACATCGATGTTTCTCTCTCTCTCTCTCTCTCTCTCTCCCCCTCCCACTCTATGTGAACAAAATATCAAAAAAAAAAGAAAGAATAATTTACAGAGAATCAATAGTAGAGTAGGTAAAGCCAAGAAACAAACCATTGATTTGGAATATAAGGAAGTGAAACACAACTAATCAATGTGTCTCTCACATAAATGTTTCTCTCACTTTCTTTCTCCCTCCCTCCCTTTCACTCTCTCAAAAAAAAAAACCAATGGAAACATATCATCAAGTGAGGATTAACAAAAACAAAACAGCCCGGCTGGTGTGGCTCAGTGGTTGAGCATCAACCCACTGCACCCAGAGGTCACAGGTTCAATTCCCAGTCAGGACACATGCTCAGGTTGTGGGCCCAATCCCCAGTGGGGGGCATGCAGGAGGCGGCCAATCGATGTTCTCTCTCACCAATGTTTTCATCTCTCTCTCCCTCTTCCTCTCTCTCTAAAAGTCAATAAAGAAAATAAATAAAAAAATAAACAAAAACATAAACTGCTGAATAAATATTTTGGATCTCTATCTACAAATATAAGGACTTATCCAATTACCATTCAGGATTCCTTTCCATTCTTAAATGGGAAAGTGGAGGTGGTGTATTGAGTTAAATTCCTTTGGATTTAAAAATAGAGGGTGACTGCTACATGATAAGGGAAGAAAAGGGAATTAGATGTTGAAGTAGCTTACAAATCTTCAAAAAATTAGTAGTCTTTTTTTCCTCCCATTTTGACCTTTTTATAAAAAATATTTAGTGTGGCCGGTGTGGCTCAGTGGTTGAGCATCAACACATTCACCAAGAGGTCATCAGTTTGATCCCCAGTCAGGGCACATGCCCAGGTTGTGGGCCAAATCCCCAGTGGGGGCATGCAGGAGGCGGCTGATCGATGCTTTCTCTCGTTGATGTTTCTATCTCTCTCTCACTCTCCCTTTCTCTCTCCCTAAAATCAATAAAGAAAAAGAAAAATTTTTTTTAATTTTAAATTGCCCAGCTGGTGTGGCTCAGTGGTTGAGCATCAACCCATATACCAAGATTTCCCTCCTCTCTAAAATCAATAAAGAAAAAAACAACTTGGTATCTTTTTTTTATTTTATTTTTTTTTATCCTCACCCGAGGACACCCTTCCATCCTTTGTTCAGATAGAGTGGGAGGGAGAGAGAGAGAGAAAGAGAAACATCTACGTAAAAGGGACACATTGAGTGGCTGCCACCTGCATGACCCAACCAGGGCTGGGGACAAACTGCAACTGAGGCACACGCCCCAAGTGGGAACCGAATCTGGGTCCCTCCAGACTGCAAGCCAACGTTCTAACTGCTGAGCCAAACTGGCCAGGGCAATAAAACTTCCTATCTTTTAAAAAAAATTTTTAATTGATTTTTCAGAGAGGGAAAGGGAGAGAGAGAGAGAGAAACACTGATGTGTGAGAGAAACATTGATCGGCTGCCTCCTGCACGCCCCTCACCAGGGATCAAGCCCACAACCCTGCTATGTGCCCAGACCAGGAATCAAACCAGGACCTCTCAGTCCATGGGACAACACTCAATCCACTGAACCACACCAGCCTGGCCTATTTTGACAATTTTTAAGCATACAATTCAGTGGCACTAATCACAATCACCATATTGTGCAACCATCACTACTATTTATTTCCCAAACTTTTCATAATTCCAACAGAAATCTGTACTCATTAAGTAATAGGTTTCCAGTCTCCCATCCTCCCAACCCCTGGTAACCTCTATTCTGCTTTCTGTTTCTATAAATTTGATTACTCTAGGTAACTCATATAAGTTGAATCATACAATATTTTTTCTTCTTGTGTCTGGCTTAGTTCACTTAGCATGTTTTCAAGGTTCATCTATGTTGTAACTTGTATTTACATGTTTTGTTTTGTTTTTTATCCTCACCTGAGGACATTTTTTGATATTTTGTTCAGATAGAGTGGGAGGGAGAGAGAGAGAAACATCGACGTGAAAGGGACACATCGAGTGGTCGCCACCCACACGACCCAACCAGGGCCGGGGACAAACTGCAACCGAGGTACGTGCCCTTAGCGGGAACCAAACCCGGGTCTCTCCAGACCGCAGGCCAACGCTCTAACCGCTGAGCCAAACCGGCCAGGGCTACAAGCAATTTTTTATTGAAGTATAATATATAGCATTATATTAGTTTGAGGTGTACAACATAATGATTTGATATTTGTATACATTATGAAATTATCTCCACAATAAGTCCCCATACACGGT